CAGAAGCAGCACGTCTATTTTCAGGTATAGGTCACTGTAATCGCCTAGAGTGCTGCAATCGAAGTGATCCCATACCCGAATCGCGTGCTCGTGTTCCGCGACCTTCACGTGCTTTTCCGTCAGCGTGCTGAAAAACTCGGAGCGCTCCGGCAGACTCGTCTCGCTCAATTTGTCCCAGCTGTCGGTGTACTCGTACGGATATACACCTTTACGTGTCACGAGAGGCATATCGTTCGGCGCGAACACTTTTGCGATTTCGCGGAATTTACCAAAGTCCGCGGTCGAAAGGTTCGCGGCCAAAGTGGATAGACTGGACGACATGAAACGATACGTATCGACAAACCTTATCGTGAACTTGGAGTTAATGTATTTCGAGAAAGAAATGTACATCTCCTCCGAGTTGGGTATCACGGAGATCCTCTCGGTATCGTATCCCAACTCGGTCACGATAAAATGAGCATCGTATTTGGATAAATTGTGCAAAAAGCATGGCACGAAATTGGGCGTTCTTAGTTTCAAATTGCACGTGTTGCATAATGTCTTCAAAAGCGCCCCGACAGATGATCGTGGTGAGCGACTTTACGGTTTTCCTCGCGGAACGCCGCGCGACACAGATCGCAACTCGTTTTAAACGTGTGCACCGCGAGTTCCTCCTCACCGCCGCTCCACACAATATCCGTGTTCGTCGACCTATACAGTTCGTACAATTTACCCGCTATCTCGGTGACCGCCAGAACAAATTGCCGCGCCATGTCACTTCGCGTAACCGACCCGCGAACGATGACTGGTGCGCGCGGAATCTCGAACCGTTCGAGCAGCTCCGCGGGCACACCGTCCGCGGCTTTTACCATAAAGCCGTAGCTCATGGGGCAGTGGTCTTGCGAGACGCGTGTGTTCGTACCTAGCCTCTCGGTCGAATTACGGAGATACGATTCGAAGTCGGCGTACAAAACAAACGGTAAGCGTTGCATTTTACCCCATCCCTCGAATCGCACCGTGGCCCCCTCCACCGGCATCTTAGGCGCTATCGGTTTGTGCGTGCCACATATTTTCATGTGGTCCGCGAGCGCTGCCGCACCGTTACGCTTATAGCGAGTGGGTCGGTTATCGAAACGGGTAAAACACCTTTTACACACGAAAACTCTACGTTCACTCGTGCTCATCTGACTGCTAACGAGTCGGGAAAAATTCGAGATGTACGTGTAGTGATAATTATTACCGTTGTTGACGAGTAGGAGATCGAAATGATTCTCCTGCTCCGCATCGATAACCCTTAAGGGGTATACTGTAGGGGATATTTTATCGTTACCGCAATTTCCCAAACCGTACACGTTTACCGACGTGCCGGGGTTGCAACGCTCGAATATTTTAATTTCAGATACGGGGGTGGGGACTGATAACGCGGAGAAGTCGTACCGGTACTCCTCGCTCGAATAATTCACGCCGACTCGATTGAGATGCGCGATGTTCTGCACGTGTTTTACCAGAATCGCCCACTTAAAACATTCGCGGTCGATATTTTGCGGGTTTACCACAGCCTTCCGTGACTCCACGGAAGCCGGTAACGGAACGTAAGACGAACCGTCGAGCGGAGTGTACTTGTACACACCCAACAACAGTCCGTCTATACACTTGAGAGTGTATCCGCTACCTTTACCGCGGTAAACGTCCTCCTCGGCGATAAGCGCCGAAAAGTCTTCGTCCACCATCTCATCGATATCCCCGTGTTTGTATAGTTCGCGTGCGCACGTTTTAAAAGACCTGTTTACGAGCGACTGCTCGAGTTTGGGGATATCGTAAGTGGCCTCTAATTTAAGGTTATATTTTATCGGATGAACTAGCGTGCGTCCACGTAATAGATCCACCAGCTCCGTCCTAATCGATTGTAGAAAAACGTTATAATCGGTACAATTAATAACGTTTTTCGCGTAATACCATACGACGGAGCGATTAAAAGACGAGTCTATTTCGAGAAACCCGCACGTCGTGTTCATCGATGCCATACGATTTTTTTTTTCGCATAATATTAACCGCGGTGTTTACATTCAAGCGTTTACGCGGTGCGGGTGCGGGGATAGCGATGGTATCGACGTCGGTGGTGAGGGTAGACGTGGTGGCTACGGGTGGTGCGAGCGAGATATACGATGGTGAAGTGGGGGTTGGTGGTGGTGGTGGTGGTGGTGGTGGTGATGATAGTGCATCTGTCAGTGCTATTTTCAGAATTTTATAATTAATATTATATAATTTAACTAGAAAAATATAAATTACTACCTTCTCCCATCATCAGATCGGTTATGCCCATTGCTTCGTTGAACGATTTCCCGTATTTTTTAAATTCTATTAAACAATTATTATTGTTGTATAAAATATTTTCCATCTATGATGAGGCGGGCGGGTATTATAATAAAAAATGTACTCACTGTGAACGTTCTGCGCGTGTTTGACCAAATAATCGCGACGAAGGTATGTTTTAGAGCATATCTCGCATTTGAAAACAGTTCCATCGTGCATTTTCTGATGTCGTGTTGAGCTACTTTTGTTCGCGTATGTTATACCACACGTAATACAAGTGAACGGCATTTTCAATAAATTTTTAAAAAATCACGGACACAAAATGCGATCACTACACCACGATACGATCACGGTTGACTTCGAGACGAAGACTGACTATCCAGCGGTACAGACGGACACGCATAATTATTATTATTATATAAGTCATTATTATTATTATATAATGCATGATATCGTTTATCAATGCATTCGTCGGCATTCATCCGGGGTCATGGAGATCAGCAGATGATGACGGTATACATATATCTCCACCGTATACCGAGGTGTTAATATTAATACATAATTATATGTATATATATATATATTTTAAACAGTTTATTTATTTGTATATAACTCTTGCTGATGTATTTTTCTGTATAGAATAAATATATATATATATA